GGGGACAGGGGGACACAAGGGGGACACGAGGGGACAGGGATGGGGGACAGGAATGGGGGAACACAAGGGGGACATGGGGGACAGGGATGGGGACAGGGGGACACGAGGGGACACAAGGGGACAGGGATGGGGGGACAGGAATGGGGGAACACAAGGGGGACATGGGGGGACACAAGGAGACAGGGATGGGGGAGAGGGACGCAAGAGAGACGGGATGCAGAGGGGACAGGAGACATGAGGGTACATGGGGGACACGGGGGACACAGGGAGATAGAGGGACATGAAGGGACATGGAGGGACACGGGGGGACATGGAGGGACACAGGGGGACGTGGAGGGACATGGAGGGTCACGGGGGACGTGGGGCCAGGGCAGCGGGCGCTGCGGGGTCCCCTGGGGACTCTGGTGACCGCCGGTGACCCATGGGGACCCCGGGTGACGCGTCCCCGTGGGCCGCAGCGTTCGTGCGCAAGCTGGACCCCGCGTACCAGGTGGACAAGGGCAACAAGATCAAGCTGGTGGTGGAGCTGAGCGACCCCGACCTGCCCCTCAAGTGGTACAAGAACGGGCAGCTGCTCAAGCCCAGCACCAAGTACGGCCGGGCGCGGGGGGCGCGGGGGGAGTTGGGGAGCAAGGGGGTTCTTGGGGAGCAAGGGGATTATTGGGGAGCAGGAGGGGCTCTGGGCACAGGGCGCTCTGGGGGTGGAGGGTCATAGGGGGCAGGGGGCAGTTACTGGGGGGCAAGGGGGGATTTGGGGGACAGGGGGCTATTGGGGCCGGGGGCTCTGGGGGGTCAGGGGGTTCTTGGGGCTCTGCAATGGGGGGGGCTGAGCGGGGGTGTCTGCGGGAGCCGTGGGGGCTCCTGCTCTGACCTTGTCCCCCTCCCCGTCCCTGTGTCACCCCCTGACATCTCCCCTTTTGTCTTTGTGACCCCTCCTCGTCCTCCCACCCCCTTGTCCTCCCCACACGTCCCCCCTGTGTCCGTCCCTTCCCCCACGTCCCTGTCCCCGGCGTCCCCGTGTCCCCGGTGTCCCCGGTGTCCCTGTCCCCCGTGTCCCCGGTGCCCGCGGTGCAGGTACGTGTTCGAGAACGTGGGGCTCAAGCGCATCCTGACCATCCACAAGTGCTCGCTGGCCGACGATGCCGCCTACGAGTGTCGCGTCAACGACGAGAAGAGCTTCACCGAGGTCTTCGTCAAGGGTGCGCCACGCCGCCACCGCGTCACCGTGTCCCCATGGCCCCGGTGTCACCGCGTCCCCACGGCCCCATGGCCCCACATCTCCCCCATCCCTGGCATCCCCGTGTCCTCATGTCCCCGTGTCGCTGAATGCCCCGTGTCCCAGTGTCCCCATGCCCCCACATTCCTGTGTCCCAGCATCTCCCACATCCCCATGTCCTCATGTCCCTGTGTTGCTGAATGGGGACACACCCACGTCCCCAAAATCTTCCTGTCCCCATGCCCTGGGTGTCCCCATGTCCCCACATCCCCGTGTCCTGTATCCCCCCGTCCCCGTGTCCCCCCATGTCCCCGAGGTGACGCGCGTCCCCGCAGAGCCCCCCGTGACCATCGAGAAGGGCCTGGACGACCAGCAGGTCTTCGTGGGCGACCGGGTGGTACTGGAGGCCGAGGTGTCCGAGGAGGGCGCCCAAGTCATGTGGTAATGTGGGGCTGCCCCTGTCCCTGTGTCCCCATGTCCCCATGTCCCTGTGTCCCCCTGTCCCTGTGTCCCCGTGTCCCCATGTCCCCGTGTCCCTGTGTCCCCATATCCCCGTGTCCCTGTGTCCCTATGTCCCTGTGTCCCTGTGTCCCCGTGTCCCCATGTCCCCGTGTCCCCGTGTCCTCTGTGCTCCACACATCCTCATGTCCCCATGTCCCCGTGTCCCCATGTCCCCGTGTCTCCATGTCCCTTGTGCTCCACATGTCCTCATGTCCCCTTGTCCCTGTGTCTCCATATCCCTCTATCCCCATGTCCCCATGCCCCCATATCCCTGTGCCCCCATGTCCCTGCATCCCCAGGTCCTCACGTCCCCGTGCCATGTCCCCCATCCTATGGCCATGTCCTCACGCCATTGCCATGTCCCTCGTCCCATCCCACTGTCCCTGCTGTGTCCCCCTTCCCATCCTGGTGTCCCCACCCCGTTGCCATGTCCCCCATCCAATCCCATTGTCCCCACCGTGTCCCCCATCCCATCCCATCCCGTCCCATCCCATCCCATCCCATCCCATCCCATCCCATCCACCCCGTTGCCGTGTCCCCCCCATGCCACCCTGTTGTCCCTGCTGTGTCCCGCATGCTATGGCCGTGTCCCCCATGCCATCCCGGTGTCCCCGCGCCGTGCCCGGCGCGCAGGCTCAAGGACGGCGTGGAGCTGACGCGCGACGACGCCTTCAAGTACCGCTTCAAGAAGGACGGCAAGAAGCACTACCTGATCATCAACGAGGCCACCAAGGAGGACACGGGCCACTACAAGCTCATGACCAACGGCGGCGAGAGCGAGGCCGAGGTCATCGTGGAAGGTGCGCGGCCCCGGCCCCCTGCTTGTCCCCACGCGCGTCCCCACGCGCGTCCCCGTGCTTGTCCCTAGTCCCCATGCTCGTCCCCGGGGTGCCGGGGGGTCCCGGGGATCCCAGAGTGGTCCTGGGGGTGTCCTAGGAGGGTCCTGGGGGGGGGTCAGCAGCTCCCATAGCCCCCCCTCGCCCTGCAGAGAAGAAGCTGGAGGTGCTGCAGGGTGCAGAGGCGGGTCCCAGGGGCACAGGGGGGTCCTGGGGGGTCCCGGGGGGGTCCCAGGGTGGTCCCTTAGCCCCGCTCCCCCCGCAGAGAAGCTGGAGGTGCTGCAGGGTGCAGGGGGTTCCTGGGGGTACAGGTGGGTCCCAGGGGTACAGGGGAGCCCTGGGGGGTCCCGGGGGGTCCTGGGGGTCCCGGGGGGATCCCAGGGGGTTCCCATAGCCCCCCCTTTGCCCCGCAGAGAAGAAGCTGGAGGTGCTGCAGGGTGCAGGGGGTTGAGGGGGGTCTCTGGGGTACAGGGGGGGTCTCAGGGGGTTCCTGGGGGTCCCGGGGGGATCCCAGGGGGTTCCCATAGCCCCCCCTTTGCCCCGCAGAGAAGAAGCTGGAGGTGCTGCAGGACATCGCGGACCTGACGGTGCGGGCGGCCGAGCAGGCCGTGTTCAAGTGCGAGGTGTCGGACGAGAAGGTGACGGGCAAGTGGTACAAGAACGGCGTGGAGGTGCGGCCCAGCAAGCGGATCCGCATGGCCCACAACGGCAGGTGGGCGCTATAGGGATACAGGCGGTATGGGGGGCTATAGGGGCTGCTCCCGGCCCAGCAAGCGGATCCGCATGGCCCACAACGGCAGGTGGGCGCTATAGCGGGCTACAGGGAGTGTGGGGGCTATAGGGGGGCTGCTCCTGGCCCAGCAAGAGGATCCATATGGCACACAATGGCAGGTGGGCGCTATAGGGGCTCTAGGGGCTCTAGGGGCTGTGGGAGCTATAGGGGCCCTAGCCGCTATAGGGGCTCTAGGCGCTATAGGGGCTCTAGGGGCTGTGGGAGCTATAGGG